GTGACGACCCCGGGCTGGACTCCGCTTCGTCCACGGTGAAAGCCGATCCGGCGATGCACAGCGCGAAGTTGAAGTATTTCCTCAGCGACCAGTACGGATCAGCTCCAGGCATGACGAAGCGATGTCGTCCTCTTTTGGCAGGCCAAACAAAGTAGTTTCGCTTTCACAACAAATCACACAGCGCCTTCACGACATGGTGGCGGAAACAACAATACTACAGCGAGAATAAAAGTTACGCCTTCTTTCTTTGCGTGAACATTTGGGCGGCGTTATGCAAATCTTCCCACATAGTGACGTAGGTATGTGGGGGCGTGTTAGAACGAGGCGTTTTAGGTAGGTGTGGCTGACTCTTAACTTTTATAAAGAATATCTCTTTGGATTTGAGACTTTAGTCTTGCAACTTTACAGATCTTCTTTATGCACCAAGAGCCTGTAACACTCCATAGAGAAAGGAAAAATTGAAATCCTTATGACCCCTTTAAAAATAAACTCTCACACAAATTTACCATATTGCTTTATAAGGCTTAGAATATAGCATGTCATACAAAGTACTTTTTTGATATTTAAATGGTGCTTTTTTTGTCTTTTTGGAACTTAACAACTCAATGCTGCATTCCATTTGTTTCTCGGAAGCTGGAAATTCCGAGTTCCCAGTAGGAACTTTTAACTGGAACGCTCTCCCAGGTCAGAGTTCCAACTCGGAATCTTGGAGGAATCGCAACAACTCCAACTTCAGAATCCAATATGGCTGCTCAATGCATCAACAGAAGAGAAACAGTAGTAATATATTGTTTATTAGAAATTATGTTAGTCTGTCTCAATAAACTCAGTGGAGCAAACAGTACTATCCAACCTCTATTTGTGGGCATCATACTATGGCGTTATCTGTGCAAAATACTGCTTTTTTATGTGTTTTTAATCAACTGGTATTGCTAACAATGGACTCGTCCATCTTGGTTTTACATTCCCATCTCTGACATTCAACTTCTGAGATAAATGGTACGCAGCCCCTATTAGGTGAGTAAATTCATTTTTGGGTGAATAAATTCTTTACCAGATCACATATATGTACTCTAGACATCTGCCAGTTTTTCAGCAACTCTTCAAGTCCAAAACGGCAAGAAAGTGTGATAGATGAGAAAAGCAGAGGAAAGGTTTGTCCTCTCGCAGTGACTCTCTTTGGCCTGACTCCACACAAACAGATCAGCAACTATGAAAAGGACCAGAATCTAGAGGAGGGGATCAGTTTTCCCTGAGTCTAACCACTTACCCAGCAGAGCTTCTGGCTGTAAAACAAAGGAATTGCTTCCACATGTTTCTAAAGGCTGCAGTCTCAGGGTACAAATCTTCGGAACGGGACCCTCCTCTGCCAGGACACTTGCTCGCTTTCTCCGTCTCCTCAATACACACACAAATGCATACACATCAAAAGTGCCATCTAGTGTTGTCTTGCACTATTACAGTTCAGTAACAGTACAGTAAATTACAGTTCACCAACAGCTGATGCAGTTAATTGATTTATTTACATTAATACATTAGTTCAACATACTCTGCATTTTAGCTATATCAGCTTAATAATACTGAGTAAAGTGAGTAATACCAACCATATTTTATCAGATTTATTCTGAGCCATTTATAAAAGAATACTAATTGACTTTCATAAGAAGTCAATTTCATTTCATTTTCAACTAGACAAACATACTTATGTTAATATGCCACATAGTTTGATCTTAAAAAGTCACTTTAATAGGACTCTCAACCATGATGTCATATTTTAAGGCAAACATTAAAACTGAACAAGGTCCCACTTGAATACTGATCACCATAATTATGACTTAAAATGAACATGATAAAACAGTGTAAATGTAATATAAAATTGCATCAATCATACTAAACAAAACTGTAAAGACAACTATAATTACTGCCTATTAATTTAGAACACCAACCATCTAGGCCCATATGTTTCCTAGGCCTGAATAGTTAAATAGTTATGTATTGTATAAAAGCTTGTGTTCACTCCACCCCAAAAACACAAAGTAATAGATTCACAAACATGACCTAAGCTGGAACTATTGTGTAATTTCACCACTAATAGCCATCAAATTGAAATCTAAACAGTTTCAAACAGGTTTCCCCATTAACACCCCCATCTGCTATTGGTCAGCAAAAACATAGCCACGTCCCAAAAGCACGCCATTGGTTTGCCAAATGTTAAACATAGTGAAAAAATATCATTTAGAATAAAAAATGGCTTGTTGCACAGTGCTCACAAAAGCATATACTTGTTTTGGTGGCCATATTAGCAGGTTACAATAGAAAACACAATGAAAATTACATAAAACTCTGTCAATACAATATTTTGCTAAATATCCTTTTATAAAGTGACAAACTGTTGGTGTGAACTACTTTTTAGCCACTGTTTGACAGAAGATACGAGTATAATCATACAGGTTTCTCACAACTATGATTCTGCATCAAGAGACCAAGTCCTGGTTTGTCATAATAAACACTAATCTACATAATGGTGGTTTTAAATAAAACACCACCATAAAAAAAACTACAACACACACACACAAAAAAACAAGATACTGTTCATCGGATAATTATAATGCTTGCTTAATTGCCACTTGTCACCAATTTTCAATATTAAAAGCAATGCTGTATCCCAGGGGTCTCCAAACTCGGTCCTGGAGGTCCGGTGTCCTGTAGAGTTTAGCTCCAACTTGCCTCAACACTCCTGCCTGAAGTTGCTAGTATGCCTTGATTAGCTGGTTCAGGCGTGTTTAATTAGGGTTGGAGCTAAACTCTGCAAGACACCGGCCCTACAGGACCGAGTTTGGACACCCCTGCTGTATCCCATCACAACTGCAACACAAGGTTATTTAGTAAAAAAACAAAAAAAGAAATTCTCTAAACTGACATGCTTTAAAAACGTTAGAAAAACATTACAAAACTAAAATATATCATATCTGAAGTCCATTAATATGATAAAGTGAAGCTGCTAAACTTGTTTATATAGTATGCATAGCCAGCTTTTTTGTTTTAGTGTGCATTTCTTCCTTCCTTTACAGTTTCTGCTTAATTTAAGAGATTTTCACAAACAAAGCAAAATCCATACCCTGTGCACCTCCACTAAACTTATCCTTTCTTCAGGCCAGTCTTGGCATACTGGTTGTTCATTAACCTAATTAAAACTAACAAACAGGGGGACTTCTTTTACTGGACAGCAGACACAGTCTAATTTGCATATAGAGACATAATAAGTGTATGGCAGCAGGTGCAGGCGGATGATAATTATCAGTAATGATAGTCACCTTTTATATTTTGTTTTGTATGTTTTAATGAACAAATATATTTTTTGACCAATCAAGTTAAGCCCTGACAACTGAAAGGTTTTAGTTTTTTTCTTTAGATGTGGAATGTTGTCGTCCTCTATTGGTGATTTGCACAAAGTGCAATACATATGCACACGAATAGAGCTACTACCAACAAAAAAAACCTTGCTAAACCCCAATGAGCTCTCTTTATGTATAACCAGGACATGCCTTTATAGAATATAATTCGGAATTTTTTTTTTTTTTTCAATATTTATTGCAGTGCTGGTTTTGTATTGAATGTGATTTGCCCAAGTAGTTCTCACGTATCATCAACCAACAGATTTTAGGGTTAGGTTTTACACAAAGAACCATTTTATATAGTAACCTTTTTAACATTGCATAGCAAGAGGAAATCAAAGATCAGCATTTGTAATAATTTGAGAGAGTCGAGCGATTACGTAATCGGCCACGTGACTACGTAACCGCCCACAAACAAACATGGCGCTCTACAGTCGTTGTTTACAAGTCTGTCTACTAGCTTTGAGGACGTATTTTAACATCCAGGGTAATTTGATTCAACGTCTTTATGCCGTCCAAAGACAATGTCATAGACAGCGTCTACGCTCAAGGTGACAGGTCAGTTACTGTTTTGTTTTTAAGCATTAAGGATGTGCAGGTTTCCCACGCGTCCTGGAAAACTTGTTTATCTTTGTCAAAAAAAAGGTTATATTTGAGCATTATATAAGCTGTCATTATATCATATCTGTACACCTTCATTTTCTTAACAGATAGAAAAATACACTCGCGAGAAGTGTATTCCTGTTATTTTAACAGGAAAGAGTGGCATTCAATAGTACTGCAAGCAGTAGTGGATGGCAAAGGACTTTTCTGGGATTTGTGTGTTGGCTATCCTGGGAGTGTACATGATGCAAGGGTCCTAAGACAGTCTTATTTGTGTAACATGTTGAATGATGGACAATTGTTAAATCAACACAAAGTATGCATCTCTGGTTGTGATGTTGGATACTCCCTCATTGGAGACTCAGTCTATCCCTTACAAAACTGGCTGATGAAGTCATTTCCTGACACGGGCAGACTAACCCCACAACAGCAAAGGTTTAATCTCAGGTTGCGGACTTGAGTTTTGGAAGGCTAAAGGCACGATGGAGGTGTCTCTTAAAAAGGAATGACTGTAAACTGGAGCTGATCAAGGAGATGGTTTTGACCTGCTGTGTGCTGCACAATATCTGTGAGGAACGTGGAGACCACTTCAGTGAAGACCTTTCAGCCATCCATGTAAACATGCAGCCTCTTGTTCAAGCATTAACAGAGCAAGGACAACCAGAAGGGTTGTTCGAGCGGCATTATTCGACTACTTTAACAGGCAGAACAGTTAAATTATTTAAGTAGCAGTTTAATTGTATTTCCTTTTTCTATTGTTTTTCCTCGGATCCTTACTTGCTTATGGTGTGAATGTTCAATGAATGTTCCAAAATGTATGTGTATATTGACTTGTTATAAAAATTAATTGCAATAAATACATTTGACAAATGTAAACACTGTTAATTTGTAAAGTGCAAAGTAGACAAGAACAAGATTAGGAATAAAGTAACAACACACAACAAGTAGACAAATGTAACAATTGTTTAAAGTTAACAGCATTTGTAACAAAATACGATTCTGCAAAGAAAATTCCATTATCCAAAATACTGTATGTTGATGCTGTTTTTATGTAGAGAAGGGAAAATTCCTCCTTTTAGGACTCTGGCCATGTTACTAACACTTTTTCATTGTGGCAAAGACCAGCAAGGAACAATCTATCAGTACACATTTTAGGAAGGGAAAAAGGAAAGAGGGAATTGACTCAACCAGTACTACAGTAATTTTTCAGGCTATGTCTGCTAGAATGTATATAAGTGATTTATACTTCTTCTTCTTGACTGACATCAAGTATGTCTGTGAAATCTGTTGGGTCCTTTATGGTGCATGAAGAACGCTCGTTGACATCGACGTCAACGGTGCTGTCTTCCAACTGTGGCCTTTTAATCAAAGTCATGAAGGGAGTTTGAGGTCGGCCTCAAAAGTGTCTGAATAGTTTAACCTGAATCACTGAAATTTCACCACACGCAAATTAAAATCAAATACAACAAACACGAAAACAGCTTATTCACGGTTAATGTGATGTAGGTAGAAGTTAGAAGCCTCTAACTTTACCTTCACTCCTGTCAAACACATCTGGGTTTGCTACACCTTTTCAATGTGAAGCTGGTCATGCTCTCTATATGACAGGTGTTTGGAGGGGAGGAGTTGATGTTGTCAAGCATAAAAAGTAATTTCATGGGAAGAGCAAGTTATTACATTTTGATGACAGATTAATAAAAGTTTTGCTGTAATAACGTGTACAAAACAATAATTCCAAATAAGACCTGGAATGTATATTAAGAAAGTAACTTAAGGATCAATTTTGGTTTGCTTTGACTTTGAAATGTAAGTAGTATGCAAATGAGAATAAAATGCACAAAAAGAATCCTGTGTTCATGGTTTGATTCCCTGCTGTTCCTCCATTAGCGCCACCATGCGTCCCAATAGTCCCAGCATAGAATTCGTAGCTTCATCCATTTTATTAAGAATTGCAGTATTAAGTTCTTTGGCGTGTGCCATAAACCGTTCATCAGCAGTTTTCAAGTATTCCAGCAGCTCCTGGTTTGAATCTCTCTTCTTTATTCTGGTTGTTTGCAGAGACTTTCTTGGTTGGAATTGAGAAGAGCTGAAGGATGGTTCAGCTTGGTCCAGCACCTCCTCAAGTGAAGAGTCTGTATTCACCATAATAAAAGCAGCACATTACTTGAAGACCTAAACGTAGCACATAGTGCATTTACATAATAATCTTGTATACATTAGGTAAGTGTGTAGAAAAGAGAACAACAAAGAAAGACGATAATGAAAACCTACCAAGATCAGCTGCAGAAGACAGCGATTCCACATTTGTCTCAAGCATGGCTGTTGCTGAATTTAATGCTTCAGTAAATTGACTCCCTGGCAGGCGTTCCAGCACAGTGTCCATAACATCATAGTTAGTTGTTTTATTGCTCCATTGGCTGCCGCTTTTACTTTTCTCCTTCTTTTTGTTAATGAACTCCTTCTTACGTTTTTTTAGTTTGTTAATGATTTGGTCGGTTGTACGAGTAAACCCAGCATTTACCATCTCTTGGCATATATCGTCATACACTCTCTTCTTTCTTTTTGAGCTCCCCAATCTCTCCTGGATGTCTGTGGAAGACCATATCTCAAGCAGTGCGCTGGTTTCCTCCGAAGACCACTGCTGTGTGGTTTTGTGCACGGATATTTTACTACCTACAAAAAAATAAATAAAAGTTTGCCACACTTTACAACTTGGAAGAAAGTTATTATTCACAAGTAAGTCCACTTTAAAAGAACTGAAGTCAGACCTCTTTTCACTTAAATTAAAGTGAATGCAAAGTGAACTCGGATCGCTTTTTGTTCTACTTTAATTTAATTTAAAGGTGTTAGGCCACTTTTCTCACTGTGTTTTAAGAAATAGTTTGACCAACTACCTGTTTTTCTGTAACCTACATTAAAAAGTTATTACCAGTCTTAAAAATAAAAAACTAACCTTACTAATTTGCAAGACTAGTCTAAATTTATGCAACCAGCCACTGTATATTATTATTATTCAACATTTCTGCATTTTTGTCGTATTTCCTTACTTGAGCTTTTATTTTGGAGGCAACCTTAAATAAAAACATAGCTTTTATCATTGTGTTTGGTTTTAATAAGATCAATTGTGCAACATTAGTAGCTAGAACAGCAACCACGTAATCTTACGCAGTATATCATTGCATACAGACACAACAGTGAAAACTAACCTAGCTCAGCCTCAGCTACAGAGAACACAGCAGAGTCCTTGTTTGTCTCGAGCGTGGCTGTCGTCAGCTGACTGGCTGGTCGGTGTCCTAGCACAGACTCCATAACGTCGTGGTCGAATGTTTTCTTAATCTGTCCACTCTTACTTGGTTTCCTTTTCAGGTCCCTGTACTCCTTTCTAAGCTTTTTTAACTTGTTCATGATTTGGTCGGTCGAGCGACTGAAGCCACCGTTCAGCATTTCTTGGCTTATCTCATCGTAAACTCTTTTCTTCCTTTTCGAGCTCTCCAGTTTCTCCTGGATCTCTGTGGAAGACCATATCGCGAGCAGCACGCTGGTTTCCTCTGAAGACCACTGCTGTGAGCTTTTATTTTCGGACATTTTTTGTAGTTTACAGTTCAATTGCACGGTCACTGCAGACTAGCGTTATTTTAAATGTCTCTCTCTCTCTCTCTCTCTCTCTCTCTCTCTCTCTCT